ATGTCCGAGGTTCCTGTCATTTCTTCGCCTCCCTCCACCAGCCAAACCCTTTCTCAGAATTCTGGCAGTTTCCCAAGCAATGATGTTCTCTGAAACATCTCATTCACAATTTTGTTTTTCTGGTCTTTGAGCACGATGTCTGGGTGATTAACATTGATTGTTCTGTCTTTGTGTATTGTAAAAGCCCCATAAAATTGATACAGGTCCTATTTCCGTAACCGGGTCTGGATGAAGTTCATACCAATTACATACAGTTTTCTTTCCGTAGAAGTTGAAGATTTTCCAGTGCAGATATTGGTCCACTCTTACATGCCAGGGTTTTATAGCGGTTGCCAGTACTCTGCAACTTCATACAAGATGGTCAATTGTTCCTGGATATTTATCACTGACTCTGCATTTGGGGTCAACACAATATTTAATTATGTGTGCTTGGTAATTTCTAGTTAACAAGCATTGGTCCTGTGTAGAAAGAATAAAAGCTTCCGTTTCTTCTTTTAATGCTGTACTACGTAGCTACTTATAGGTACGTTTGTTTACATCAGCTTGTTCGGTACGAGCAGATTATTGACCGTAAATAGGTTTATCTTGCCATCATTTCTGTATCTGGTCGTTTGCTTTTGTTTTCTTTTTTTAAAGTATTTTACAGCTTCAGTCGGTGTATCGTGCTTGTATTTCTTCACCCATTTGAAACTACATTTTTAACTTGTTGGCTTCCTTTCTTACTGAATAAAGTCGCTTACTACGTTCATATTCTTTGACACATATATCCAGTCTTCTGCAGTTTGCAGGTATCTTTATAAGGCCAATTGCTGTAGTTTTGTAAAACACTTAGCAATATTGATACCCTGTACAACAAGAATAAAACCTCCAGATTCATCTGTTAACCCTGCACTACGTAACCACTGATGGGTACAGGGTTTGTCTACATCAGCTTGTTTGCTATGGGCAGAATAATGACCATGAAGAGGCTAATTTTGCCATCGTTCTTCTATTTTGTCCCTTACATTATTTGCTTTTGCTTTCTTTATTTAGGTGTTTTGCCATTGCAGTAGATGCATTATGGTTTATTTGTATTTCTTCACTCACTTGAAATAGCCTTTTGAATTTATTGGCTTGCTTTATTACTGAATAAATTTTCCTATTCCTTCTTTTTTCTTTTTCTTTTTTTCTTTTTCTTTTTCTTTCTTTCTTTTTCTTTTTCCTTTTCTTATTGTTACTACTACGAGTAGTATTAGTATTTCCTTTGATATATGTTGCATACTATTTTCTTTCATGGTCCCAAACAGAGGCTAATGGTCAGAAATGACATCATAACATTTTTTTACTGTACATGTGTGTGCTAAATAAACTTCTAAAACACACACATTTTACATTGATAAAGCTCTTTGGTGTTTATCTACATCAGCTTGTTTGGTACGGGCAGAGTATTGACCGTGAAGCTGTTTATCTTACCATCGTTTCTGTATCTGGTCGGTTGCATTTGCTTTTGTTTTCTTTTTTTAAATTATTTTGCACCTGCAGTCCACCGAATTGTGCTTTACTTGTATTTCTTCACCCATTTGAAACTCTATTTTGAACTTGTTGGCTCCCTTTCTTACTGAATAAAGTCGCTGACTACTTTCATTTTCTTTGACACATATATTCAATCTTCTGTAGTTTGCAGGTATCTTTATAAGGTTAATTTCTGTAGTTTTGTAAAACAGCTAGCAAGCAGTGGTCCTCTGGGCCGCAATAATAAAACCTCCAGATTCATCTGTTAACCCTGCACTATGGAGCCACTGATGGGTACGGGTTTTATCAACATCAGCTTGTTTGCTACAGGCAGAATAATGACCATGAAGAGGCTTAACTTGCTATCTTTCTTCCATTTTGTCCCTTACATTATTTGATTTTGCTTTCTTTATTTAGGTGTTTTGCCATTGCAGTAGACGTATTATGGTTTATTTGCAATTCTTCATTTATTTGAAATAGCCTTTTGAATTTATTGGCTTCGTTTATTACTGAATAAAGTTTCCTATTTCTTCTTCTTCTTCTTCTTCTTCTTATTATTATTATTATTATTATTATTATTATTATTTTATTTCCTTTGATTTCTGATGTGTACCCATTTCTTTCCGGGTCCCGCCCAGGGACCTAACGTTAGAAATGGCATCATGACATTTTCCAATGGAAAAAAAAAAAATTACATAGACAACGCCCTTCGTAAGGTGTGAGCTGTACTCGCGAGAACAATTATTTGTATTTCTTTAAGGTATGGGCTTCCAGGAATCCCTTCAATTAGTCTACTGGAATCTTTTCCCGCCAATCCGTTGATGTCTCGATGTGTCACATTTTTTAGATTTCGATTTCAAGGTCCTTGTATATTGATAGCGTTTTGAATATCTTCAAAGATACGTTACAGTCAGCAGGGACTGCCATATCAATAAGGAGGCTCCTTTTTTTTGTGTGCGATCTCTAACAACAATGTCTGGGCGGTTAACTTTGATTGTTCTGTCAGTGTGTATTGTGTAGTCCCATAACATTGTAACAGGTGCTATCTCCGTAATCGGGTTTGGGTGGTGTTCATACCAGTTTCTTTCAGTTTCTTTCCCGTAGAAGATACAGATTTTCCAGTGCAGATATTGGACCACTCTGTCATGCCATGTTTTATATTCAGTGGGTGTCATTAGCGTACAACCTGATACAAGATGATCGATTGTTTCTGGATAATTATCACAGAACCTGCATTTGGGGCTAACACAATATTTTAGAATGTGTGCTTGAAAATTTTGGGTTAACAAGCACTGTGGAGCAAGGATAAAACCTTCCAAATCAGCTTTTAACCCTGCACTACGTAGCCACTGATGGGTACGTTATTATTATTATTATTATTATTATTATTATTATTATTATTTCCTTTGATTTCTGGCGTTTACACATTTCTTTCCGAGTCCCTTGGGAACCTAAGGTTAAAAATGGTATCATGACACTTTCCTCTGCAATATATATATATATATATATATATATATATATATATATATATATATATATATATATATATATATATATACATAAAAGCCCTTCGTAAAATGTGGGCTGTACTTGTCAGAACAATTTTTGTATCTCTTTGAGGCATGGATTTTAGGAATACCTTCAATTAATCTACTGCAATCTTTTCCACACAGTCCTAGGGCTCCATCTACAACAGGAATTGTTGATGTTCCCATATGCCACATTTTTGAGATTTCTATTTAAAGATCCTTGTATTTTGACAGCTTTTTGAATATCTTCAAAGATACATTGCAGTCAGCAGGGACTGCCATATCAATAAGGAGGCACTTTTTTTTGCTTTGGTCTTTATTATTATTATTATTATTATTACTTGTAGTAGTAGTATTTCCTTTGATGTATGTTGCATACTAATTTCCTCCAGGGTCCCAACCAGAGACCTATGGTCAGAAATGGCATCATAACATTTTTCACTGTACATGTGTGTGATAAATAAACTTCTAAAACACGCACATTTTACATTGATAAAGCTCTTCGTAAGTTGTCAGCTGTACTTGTGAATACAATTTTTGGTATTTCTTTAAGGCATGGGCTACCAGGAATCCCTTCAATGAGTCTATTGGAATCTTTTCCAATCAATCCGAGTGCTCAAACTACAACTGGAATTATTGATGCCCTCATTTGCCGCATTTTTCAGATTGCCTCTTTAAGATCTTTGTATTTTAATAGTTTTTTTTAAAGATCTTCAAAGATACAGCACAGCCTCCAGAAAATATTATTAATTTTATTTCCTTGGGTTTATGTTGTCTAAACATTTCCTTCCGGGTCCCAACCAGTGAACTAAGGTCAAAAATAACTACATGACATCTTCGACTGAATAAAAGAAAAAAAAGCTAAGATCACACACATTTTCGATAGATAAAGCTCTTTGTAATGTGTGAACTGTATCTGTGTGTGCAATTTTTTGTATTTATTTAAGGCTGAGCTACCAGGAATCCCTTCAGTGAGTATATAGACCTTTTTTTTCAATTAATCCGAGGGTCCAATTACAGCTAGACATATTGATATCCTCATGTGGCTATTTTTTAGATTTCAATTTCAAGATTATTGAGTAGACTCTATCTGTGTCACGCCAGTAAGTTTTTCTCGCCCGAGTCTATCCTTCAAATCTATAAACAAACCGTTCGCCCTTGCATGAAATACTGCGGCCATATATGGTCTGGTGCCCTTGCTGTTCGCCTTAAGGTCCTCAACAAAATCCAGAGACGGATATGCAATGGTTGGCCCTGATCTGGAATCTCGTCTACAGTTTCTCTCTCACAGACGTGCCGTGGCTTCCCTCTGTCTTTTCTACAAATACTTTCACGGTAACTGCACCGACGAGCTACTTTCGCTAGTTCCCAAACTGCATGAATTTAAACGTGCTACTAGGTCGGCATCTCGGTTCCACGCTTTCACTGCCGGTTAAATATAGCCGTCTCTTCTACACCAATAGCTTCATGTCTCGCACTTCCCGTCTGTGGGACTCCCTTCCTCTTACTTGTTTCCCTGATAGCTATAATCTCCAGCTATTCAAATGCAATGTCAATCGAGATCTCCAGATGCCTTGATCTAATTCCCTGTCCTTCTCTTCATCCTATCCTCTATCACGTCTCTTTAGACTTGCTTCCAGTCTCTGTAACCCCTTGCGTTCCAGTGATACTCCCGCCTTGCTTGGGGTAAAAAGCTTAAAAAAACTACTGTTTTTGCTGTTGTTGTTGTTGTTATTATTATTATTATTATATAAATATATGTAGAAAGAGAGGCAAATAACAAAAGCGATATCAGCACGAGAAAGAGGGTGACCGAATGATGAACTTGGAGAGATGAATTTAACTTGAGAGAACTTAACAAGATGGATGAACGTACAGACTTTTAACTGTCAATCTATGGATAAGCCACTCGCGCCACTCTGTGTGAATGTGTAGCCCTGTGTCTGTGTGTTCGTGTCTGTATCGCCAACAAGGAACAACTAATACCAAAAAGGGTTTTGTTCATGTCTTGTGGGAGTCTGTTCTTCTGTCTCTTCCTCCTCCCCCTCCCCCTCCTTTTCATCATCATCATCATCATCATCTTCTTCTTCTTCTTCTTCTTCTTCTTCTTCTCGTGCACTCTTTTAAGCTTTCTGTTTCTCTCTATATATCTTTCTCTCTCTCGCGCCCTTTTTTATTGCCTCCTTTTCTCTCGCTATTTCTATTTTATCCTCTCTCTTTACCCTTCTCTCTGCTTCACCTCTGTCTTTTTCTCTTTTTTCTACCAACTTTCCTTCGTTTCGCATTCTCTCTTTCTTAACATATCTCTTTTTCCTCTTTCTCTCTCTCTCTCTCTCTTTCTCTGTTCCCACTCCTCCTACATCTTCCTTTAAATCGTTTAATTCTTCTTCTTCTTCTTCTTCTTCTTCTTCTTCTTCATCTTCTTCTTCTTCTTCTTCTTCTCTCTTTCTCTTATAGCCTCTCTGTTTCTATTTCTATATCTTTCTGCATCTCACCCTTTTTATTATCTCTTTTTCTCTTGAACTTTCTATTTTATTTTTCCTCATTAACCCTCTCTCTCTCTCTCTCTCTCTCCGATCCCTCTCTCTTTCCCCTCTGTTTTTCTCTCGCTTTTTCTATCCTTCTTTAATCGTTTTTTTCCTTCTCTTGTTTCCTTATCTTTCTCTCATCATCTTAGGATCTCTCTCATTCTCGTTACCAATCTCCATCACTCTATCTTCCCCCCCCATAATTCTTGCTCTCTCTTATTTTCTCTCTTTCCCTCCCCATTCTCTTTCTTCTTTTTAGCTCCTAGCTTTCTCTCTCTTATATTTCGACTTTCTCTCTCTTACTTTTTCCCTCTCTTGCACATTGACCATTTCCTTTTATTTTTCTCTCTTCCTCCCCCTCTCTTATGAATTCTCTACCTTTTTTCTTTCCCTCTTTTTTTTTGTTTAGCTATGTACGTGTTTGCATGTAAAAAAATTTGGCGAATTTGCAAAGAAAATCTTTCATATTCCGTAATTGCATTAACCATAATTTTTATAACAGATGCTGCCGATTTACGTGTTGAATTTATGCTAATTATTTCGCGAAAATATTTACACAATATATGTCTAAATTAATTTTAAACAAGAAGTATTAGACCTTTAAGGCCCAGAAGCATAATAATAATAATAATAATAATAATAATAATAATAAGTGCCTCCCTATTGATATGACAGTCCCTGCAGGCTGCAATGTATCTTTGAGGATATTCAAAAAGCTGTCAAAATACAAGGACCTTGAAATCGAAATCTCAAAAATGTGGCACATGGGAACATCAACAATCCCTGTTGTAGTTGGAGCCCTCGGATTGGGTAGAAAAGATTCCAGTGGACTAATTGAAGGGATTCCTGGAAGCCCATGCCTTAAAGAAATAAAAAAAAATGTTCTCACGAGTACAGCCAACACTTTACGAAGGACTTTGTCCATGTAAAATATGTTTTTTTTTTTTTTTGTTTTTTTTTTGTTTTTTTCAGTGAAAAATATCATGTTGGTTTTTCTAACCTTAGGTCCCTGGGCGGGACCCGGAAAGAAATGAGTACAGATCAGAAATCAAAGGAAATAAAATAATAATAATAATAATAATAATAATAATAATAATAATCTAAATATCTGCACTGGAAAATCTGCAACTTCTTCAGGAAGGAAACTGAAAGAAACTGGTATGAACACCACCCAGACCCGTCTCTTTTTTTTACGGAGATAGGACCTGTTACAATTCTATGGGACTACACAATACACACTGACAGAACAATCAAAGCCAACCGCCCATATATTCTTATTAAAGACCACAAACAAAAACGTTGCCTCCTTATTGATATGGCAGTCCCTGCTGACTGCAATGTATCTTTGAAGATATTCAAAAAGTTGTCAAAATACAAGGACCTTGAAATAGAAATCTCGAAAATGTGGCATAGAACATCAACAATCCTTGTTGTAGTTGGAGCTCTAGGACTGATTGGAAAAAATTGCAGTAGACTAATTGAAGGGATTCCTGGAAGTCCATGCCTCGTTTTATTTAGGAGATACAAAAAATTGTTCATCATCGTCTTCTTCTTCTTCGTCAAGTACAGCCCACACTTTACGAAGGGCTTTATCTATGTAATTTTTTTTTTTTTTTATCAGTGGAAATTGTCATGATGCCATTTCTAAGCTTAGGTCGTCTGGGCGGGACCCGGAAAAGAAATGCGTAAACGCCAGAAATCAAGGAAAATAAAAATAATAATAATAATAATAATAATAATACACTTAGACAAGAGCGTCGATTTAAGAAAGAGAAAAGAAACTGTTTGACAATGTTCGATTATATATTTCGATAGTATGTCTTCAAGTTGTGCTTAACAATTCAAGATCTCATGTTGTTGTTGTTCTTCTTCTTCTTCTTCTTCTTCTTCGTCGTCGTCGTCGTCCTCGTCATCATCGTCTTCTTATTCTTCGTCATCATCGTTTTCTTCTT